GCTTAATAAGAACATAAGCAGAGCCTGCTAGACCAGACTAGTGGTCCATCCAATTCAGCGTACTGTTCCACACAGCAGCCTACCAGTTGCCCTAAGGGCCAAATAATCAGGGCACAGAGGCTGAGGCCCTCCCTAGCTGTTGCTTTCCAGCATTGATATTCAGAGCTCTGCTGCCTCTGTAAATGGAGGCTCCCTTCAGTCACCATAGCTGATAGTCACTGATGAACTTTTTCCATGAAACTGTTTATTTCTTTTTAAAGCTATCTGTGCTTGTGGCCATCACTACCCCTATCTGCAATGAATTCCACAGTCTAATTACTCCTTGAGCAAAGAAGTATTTCATTTTGTCTGTCCTGAACCTGTTTTCTAACAGCTTCACTGAATATCCCTGAGTTCTAGCATTATGGGTAAGGGAGAAAAAGCTCTCTTTGGCTGCAGTCACACACACTAAATAATCCACTTTCAGTCTACTTTCAATGCACTTTCCAACTGGATTTTGCCAGTTCACACAATAAAACAGAAAGTGCACTGAAAGAAGAAGAAGAAGAGAAGAGATTGGATTTATACCCGCCCTTCACTTGGCGTCTCAGAGCGGCTTACAAACTCCTTTCCCTTCCCCTCCCCACAACAGGCACCCTGTGAGGTGGGTGGGGCTGAGAGAACTCTGACACAAACTGCTCTTTTTCAAGGACAGCTGTGCCAGAGCTTGTGACTGACCCAAGGTCACATCAGCAGGTACAAGTGGAGGAGTGGGGAATCAAACCCGGTTCTCCCAGATTAGAGTCCGAGCACTTAACCACTACACCAAACTGGCTCTCAAGTGGATTATTTAGAGTGTGTGACTGCAGCCTTTATCTACTTGCCCCAACCCATGCATAATTTTGTAAGCCTTTATCACATCTCCCCTTAGCCATCTCTTTTCTAGACTGAAAAGTCACAGATTCTCCAGCTCTCCTCATAGGAAAGGTGCTCTAGCCCTCTAACCATCTTGGTTGCTCTCTATACTTTTTCCAGCTCCAAAATATCCTTTTTGAAGAATGGTGTGGTTCATTCTCACATAAGTACTGCTCAGCTGGGAAGTATATGTTATTTATTACAAATGAAGGAACTATTTAATTGGTGTCATATGTGTATTTCCATCTTACCTGCATTTCTAAATTGGTGTGAGATTGCTCCATGTAGAAGTGTATGTTTGAAATTGCTTTTAAACTCATCGACCATGTAGTAATTAGAGGTCTTTTAACTGCAGATATTGAAGAATGAATCCCAAGCCTTCTACAAACTGTGCCCACTCCTTGGCACCAAATTATGTTTAGTAGCACAGCTATATTCAGACGTCTCATCTGCAAGTTATCGATTATTTGGCTATTATACTCAAGGACTTTGTGATCTGAAAAGGTTTCAGGAGAGTTCTTGGCTATGTTTACTGGAGTTCCTGACTGAAACAGATGATCCTGTGTAGCCTACAACCTCATGATTTCACCGTGGGGTTGGCCACTTCATTCAAGTGGCAGTGAGACACAAAGTGACTATTCCGTAGCCCTTAATTGTCTGAACCAACCTGACAGTGGTATTGTGTCCCATATAATGCTCTAATCCATTCAAGCCTGACTGTGGAATGCAAACAAAGGAACCACAGAAGCATAGCCTCAGTTCTGGCAGTGTTTAAAAGCAGACAGCGGTCTTTATCATATCAAGCCCTGCTGCCCAATAGAAAACATCAAGACGTACTGTGGAGTTAAACTGCACAGAGAATTGCACAAAAAGTCAGTTTTGAAAAGGAAAAACGAATCAAATGCCAGAAATTGTAGCTCTTTCCTCTCCTATTTATTCTGTAGGTAGCTTCACTAATAATAGAAAATCTTCTGAACGTTCATATGTCAGCCAGTTTGGTGCAGTGGTTAAGTGTGCGGACTCTAAACTGGTAGAACCGGGTTTGATTCCCCACTCCCCCACTTGCAGCTGCTGGTTGACCTTGGGCAAGCTATAGTTCTGACAAGAGCTGTCCTTGAAAGGGCAGTTCTTGAAGGAGCTCTCTGACTCCACTTACCTCACAGGGTGTCTGTTGTGGGGAGAGGAAGAGAAAGGAGTTTGTAAGCCAATATCTTCTTCTTCTTTCAAATATGAGGATTTCATTTGGATCAGGAAGTTTTAAAGTTCCTTAAGTTTTAAAGTTTAAAGTCTATTCTTATGTTATCTCTGAAGAATAGTTTTTGTGTAGCAGAGATGGTGGTGGGAATTAGTGTGTGAATTCTGGGTAAAAAAGAAGAAGAAGAAGAAGAGATTGGATTTATACCCCGCCCTTCACTTGGAGTCTCAGAGCGGCTTACAAACTCCTCTCCCTTCCCCTCCCCACAACAGACACCCTGTGAGGTGGGTGGGGCTGAGAGAACTCTGACACAAACTGCTCTTTTTCAAGGACAGCTGTGCCAGAGCTTGTGACTGACCCAAGGTCACATCAGCAGGTGCAAGTGGAGGAGTGGGGGAATCAAACCCGGTTCTCCCAGATTAGAGTCCACGCACTTAACCACTACACCAAACTGGCTGTGCGCATTTTAGGTTTGGGATGAACAATACTGTTTTGAAAAGTGGAACTGGTGTGATATAGAGCAGGGGTGAGTGGAAGGTCCCTCAGGAGTCCCTTTACTAACTCTCCAGTCAAAGACCAATGGTCTAGCCCTTCTAGGTGTTGATCAAGAAGTCAGCACTGCAAGGTTGGACACTTGCAAGTCAGGTTCCAAAAACTATTACTCTGGTAGCTGTAGCCAATATAGGCCAAAGTACTGGATTTAGATTGAAGCACCAAAACACAAAAAACACCACAAGATATAACTAATAAAGTTTATTAAGATAAATTTGCAGGAATATACAAATATAAGAACAGAGAACAGGAAGGAAAAAAATAATAACATCTGAATAGCTAACCTAAGATACTTACAGAAACTTTGGTTGTCTAATCTAGATATAACATTAAAACTACATTTTATATGTGGTTGGATCTCCTGATGTTCATAAAACATTAAAAAGCAGATGTGGAGGTGGGGCTGATTTGGATTGTAAACTTGGTACCTGTGATTGTGGATAGTTAGTTCTTTACCCTGTGCAGCAACACACCCCAGCAATGAGGGTCCACTTCCTTCAACTCTTTGTCCAGAAGTGGCAACTCCACAACAGCTGGGGCATACAGACTTGCTTGACTCTCCTGGAAGTAGGAATAGGTGGACAGCGGGAGCGAGGAGCCAATGTCAGCTAGGTAGTGTCATGGGGGTGGATGAGGAAGAGCTGCCAGAGCTTGCAGAAACTGCAGCTGGCCCCTCTGAAGCAGCAGAGGAGGATAGCTGGCGGTTGCCTGCAGCAGCAGTCTTCACACCTGGCCCAGATAAGGGGAAAGAACTGCAAGCTGAAAGTCCTCCTGACTCACTCACACGTGTGACTCGTTTAAGGGAGTGACTGCAACAAAACTTAGCAACCGGGCAATGAGAGGCCAGGCTACAGGGAAGACGCTCGGCCAGCCCAGAGTTCTAACAGGACCTTGGGCGATTGTGCAGCTGGCTAATTGGTAGCAGCATTTAACTCCACACTCTGGGCAATACTCTTTGTGGAAGCAACGAGTCAGCTTCATGCTGCTTGTATCCACTTTGGCTCAGGTCTTGCACCTAGACCTTTGGACCCCATGGCTTTGGACTCGGTTATTTATTCCTGGCTCCTGACCCCAGCTTGGCTTTGTGACTACGCTTCTGGTTTGTGATTTTGGACTTGGCTCTGTGTTTCTGGCTCCTGACCCTGGCTTGGCTTCGGACTTTGCACTGTCTTCTTGGCTCCTGACCTTGTCCTGTTCTGAACTCCCTTTGACTGGCACCCCAGCCCGTGACAGGTGGGGTTCAATGCCTGGGGGTAGACTGTCTAGGAAAAGGTGGAAAGGTGGGGCAGAAGGGAGGAAGGCTTAATGAGGGATACAACCTGATGGGTGCCATCTCTCTGTGGCCTAACTTACCTGAAGGAAGGATGCCCCCAAGTATGGACTCCTCCCCAGAGGAGAGCTAGCTTTACCTATCAGAGAGGGAAAAAATGTTTCTTTGTTAGCCATTGATGGGTGACCATGTCCTTCTGCATCCATGTGAACCCTCACACTTAGTAATTTGGGGAGGGGGGCCATCATAATCTGGGGCCCTAAACTGTAGTTTACTTAGCTCATGCATCCAGCTCCACTTCCAGTGGTTCCTAATCAGGTCTAACTTAGTACCATGACATTTATCTTTCTTCACATCTGCGGCAAACCAAAATAAATAAATGGAACTTTGTAACTGTATCCTATTGATGCTGTTGAATAATTATCCCTTTTGTTGTTCAAAAAAGATAGCCCTTGCCAAGTACATATTCATCAGGGTCAAAAATCAAAATTTTTGAATAAAAGGTCTTCTGAGAAATCCCGTAATTCTTCAGCTTTATTCCTTATACAAATATTCTTTTTATTAAGCTTCTCTATTACAAGCTCATCTGTGTACTAAGTGGACATTATATTTTGATTATGTTGATGCTGAAGGGCAGAAAAGGAGCATTGCTGTAATTTGCTTACCTTGGCTGGAAATGGAAAGTTGAAATCAAAATACCTAAGGAAAAAACATTCAATAAAATAGCTCAATTTATTCATATATAGAAAAGGACTGTCAATATTCTTGAAGTCAATAAAGTTGAAAAGCCCCAAGTACGGTTCATAATACAACTTGCAACCATTAATCGCTATAATCATGATCACCATGAGCTATCTTTGTTTGAATGTGAAAACCTGTCCCTTTTTCCAATCTATTTCTGCCTGGAGGAAGATTTATCACTTTTCATGAGTGAAACTCCCAGTACCTGAGTTTTATGCTGATGGGAGCTGCATGATACATACAAAGCTGAAAATGAACATCACAGCAGTGTCTGTCAAAGTAGATTGTCATTTTTCTCTATGTCATGATGGTACCCTTCATTTACACTTCACTATATTCTTTCTGCAGATCCCCTGTTATGGCTGGAGGTCTGTTTGCTGTAAACAGAAAGTGGTTTTGGGATCTTGGTGGCTACGATCCAGGTTTAGAAATCTGGGGTGGGGAACAGTATGAAATCTCCTTCAAGGTAAGCTGTCAAAATGTTTTGTCAGAGTGCACACTACTTTTGTGTAGTACAGACATATAGACTTACATTTTTGTTTTCTCTTTTTCATTTCCAAACTTGATCTGACTCACTATCATAGATGCTATTTCACTGATTTCTTTTAAACCAAAAGTAGCCTCAGGAAACTACAAGCTTTCCTCTCCAATCATTTTTGGGGTCAAAATCACCTTCCCTAGGGTGCTAGCAACCTACCAGAGACATGGGGGGGGGGGAATTCCTGATTATTTGTATTGGACCAATGTTGTGGTGACACTTCCATAACAAACCTAGTAGTGCCATCAGTGTGATACTCTACAGTTCATCCCAAACTCCAGGGTTTTTACCATGGAGTTCCAGGTACATCCTAGAGTGTCACCCCAACACAGTGATGTCACTTTTGGGGTTCACTCTGAAAGTGACACTGCAGTGTTGGCACTTCCCACAATTTTACTCTTGCTTCTCTACCAAGCAGCAGCACAATTGGCGGGACCTGCTGTGAGTGGTTTCTCGCTATAGACTTGGCCTCTCTAACCCCCCCTAAGATGTTTTTCTATACATTGACCAATGACCCAGTACCTTCCTTCCTTATCATTCATCTGTTCAGCTCTGCAATCCCCTGCGGCTACTTTTCGGTTTGCTTTCTTTTTGAAAGAACTACATATCACATGTAGTTCAGATCTTGTGGTTAGCATCTTAATCTCCAGAATATTTCCCTGAAGTTTTGCTTTGTAACATTCTGTGTTTCTGACCATTTCCACTGTTAACTGTAGATCAGTGACACCACTCTAATGAATCAAAATAGGTTCGATGTTGGGGCCAGAGTTTTACATTTTGTAATGGCCTCCATAACTTTTTCAGAACCCAAATACATTATGGATGCAAATGTTTACAAATGAATGTGCACAACTCTTCTATGTTCAGAATCATATTGCTAGAAAAAAGGAAATACTTCTTCACGCAAAGAGTGATTAACACATGGAATTCACTGCCACAGGAGGTGGTGGCGGCTACAAGCGTGGACAGCTTCAAGAGGGAATTAGATAAGCATATGGAGCAGAGGTCCATCAGTGGCTATTAGCCACAAGGTATAGATAGGAACTCTCAGTCTGGGGCAAGTGATGCTCTGTCTTCTTGGTGCTTGGGGGGGCAACAGTGGGAGGGCTCCTAGTGTCCTGGCCCCACTGCTGGACCTCCTGATGGCACCTGGTATTTTTGGCCACTGTGTGACAGAGTGTTGGACTAGATGGGCCATTGGCCTGATCCAACACTGACTTCTCTTATGTTCTTATGTTCATTTTTTCTACAGGATTCTTGGCCACAGTAGTAGATATAATGGTCTCCTGAGTTAAATTCGCCCATTCCTGTCCACTGATTCCCAAGATGTTGATGTTCAGTCTTACCATCTCATTTTTGACCACATCCAACTTACCTTGATTCATAAATATTACATTCCAGGTTCCTATGCAGTATTGTTCTTTGCAGCATCAGACTTTCCTTTTACCATCAGTCATTGCTGAATAAATATACTATGTCAGCCGTTAGTATGATTGCCTGCATGGGACTGGCACACGGTGGAAGATTTACCTGCAAAGGGGGGGGGGCTTCTGTGGCAATGTGATGATGTCACTGGTGACATGGTGCAGCCTACAAGTGATGTCACTGCACAGGAATGCTCTAGCATTCATCTCAGACTTTATGATTTAACAACAGAATTTTGGGTGAATGCTAGTGCATCGCCCCTACATGTAGTATCACTTTTGGTTCAAGCCCGAAGTGATGTCACCATGGCAATAGTGATTCCTCCCCCCCATTTTGCCCTCAGTGGCCCACCAAGTGGCAGCAGGGGAAGAGAACTGCCAACAGAAGTTCTCTTGCTAATCCAGCAGACACGGCAGCCTCAGCCATTTGTTCTATTGCAAACCTAGGTGGTTGTTGTTTTTTTCCAGATGTCAGAAGGGCATAAACCAAGTCATTCTTCATTAATACACACTTAAAAAAAATTAATACACACTTAAAAGTGAATTGAAAGAATGACATAGAAGGTACCAAGGGTTGTGTTTACTCCAGAGTACCATCACATATTGGAGGGCATTTTCAGCAGAATCAGAAATTACTCATATGAACCAAAGTGGTGTCATGTAACTTTTAATCAATTTTGTATACAAAGAGAACAAAACTGAAAGAGAAAAGAAGCCCCATAAACTAAATGGATTGCCAGTTTGTTTAGCAGCCATCAGCATGTCGTTTCTATAGTTAGGGTATTTTGGAGACAAGTGAAAGCCGACTCTTGCATTCCACATTTCTGACAGGAAAACTGAAGACTGTACTTTCTCATTTACTACTTCCCTATTGTTTGTCATTGGGAGGAGTATGGTTGCAAGACAGGCCATCCCTCTCTGCCCAGAAACCATGGTAACCAGACTGGAAGCCCAGACACTAAATTGTCGCTGCCTATGTGATTCGGCTGGCTTTTGAGCAAGGGAACCTTTACCTTTTTATGTTGTTCAAATGACAGATTCTTTGGAGAGGACTGTGTTGCAGTGGGTCCCATTTCAGCCGTATCTCCTCATTCAGCTCATTACTGTCAGTTGACCTTAGAGTCCTTGCCCTCCTTCTTGAATGTATTTTGAAACAGCTTTCAATGCCATTTTGTAATATTTGCCTAGAAGAAATAATCTCTCTCCTAGATGGGCAGAACAGGTTCAGTAAGAGAAGGGGAAAAAGACATACACAAGAGTGCTGCTTCCCCCCCCCTTAAAGTACAGATGGGGAGGCAAACTGTGAGGGCAATGTGAGGTGAGAGAAACAGAAAGGCTTTGTGTATGTTTAGGAAGGAAGAAGGACGGTAGTAATGAGAGGCTTTGTGACCAGATCTAAACAGATAATCCTAATTTCACATTGTTACCCTCTGGGCAAGGCCTGTCTCTAATGTATATCACGTTGGGAGACAACTGTCTGAAATATGGGTTGTATTGTAAAGATAATAAATAATTACATTTATAATTTATGATGCATTCTTTGAATGTTCAAAGCGTCCAAACGACTCTTCTCCAACAGGAACCTGCCCATCTCTTCATCACTGGAGGTATCTCCACATAGAAGTTAGGCAGGTAGCTATGGGAGGGAGGGCTTTTTCTGGAACTTCCTTCTCAAGGATGTTCACCTGTGCCCCTCTGCCCCAAATCTGTTCTGTTTAACCACGTTTTGGGGAAATATATATATGGCTGCGGTCACACGCAACATTAGCCACGCAAGAGATACAGAAGACAAGCGGAGTTTCCGGTCGCGATCTCACCAGCACATCTGGGAAGCGTAGCGCTTCCGTGGCACAACTGAGGCTTCCTGCCGAAAAAGCGCAGCAAAAAACTAGTACCTTGGAGGTACTAGTTTCCAGAAACTGCGGGGCAAGGGCGGGCGTCTGATCGCGTTTCCGGTGGTATCCGGCGCCCGCCCATGTCCCCTTGCGGAAAAGGGGTTTTTTTCCCCCACGTCTCCGTGGATGCGCACACGCACCCAACGGAGCATGCGCATTCGTAGTGTACACAAAAAAAGAAAACCAGTTCGCCGCGCCGCGCGCTTCTTCATTGCGCGCAGGCGTGTGTTGTGATCGGCACCTCTCCCTTGCCATGGAACCTCCACAGTACCTCCACAGAACCTCCACAGTAGGTCTGATCGCTTTACTGCATGTTAGTTTGCCCCGGGGCAAACAGCCACACTTCTCCTCTGCAGTTTCCTGCCCATCAGTTTCCCTGGAGAAAATGGTTGCTTTAATTAGTTGATTCAACAGCATTATACCCTGCTCAGATCCAGGCCCATACCCAAGATTTTTTGCTTGTGGGGCATTTTTTTTCCTTTTGGGGCAGACACAACATCAAATAAAAAATTAAATAAACATGAATTGCACCTCTTCAAACCTGAATTGTATTTCACCCCCCCTCCAATCAGCTGTTAGACCTAACACTTATTGGTCAAGGAGTGAAACTGACCAGAAGTGGCAGGGCAGCTTTCCATTCCTTCCCCAGCCTCCCTTCCCCTGGGGAAGGAAAGGAAAGCTACCTTGCCCCTTCTAGTCAGTTTCATTCCCCTCCCATCAGCTGGTGGTGTGGCCTAATGGGCTAATGAGTGGTGCTGTCAGGGTGTGGCCTAATATGCTAATGAGTTCTTGCTGTTGGTGGTAGCCTATTGTGCTATTGACTTCCTGCTGGGCTTTTTCTACAAAAAGAGCCCTGGTCAGTGTTTTTACATTCTGTTCAGCTATTCTTGGGAAATATGTGCTATAGCCAGATTTGGGGGAGGGGTTGCACAGTCACTGTCGCTGGGCTTTTTCATTTCTGTTTTAGTGGTGTTTATGTGTAAGCTGCCCTGAATGCTACATGTTAGTATAAAGACAGCAGTGATTTTTTTTAAACAAAGTGTTCTGTATGTTGTTCAGTTGCACAGTCGAGTCTGACTCTTCGCGACCCCATGGACCATATCATGCCAGACCCTCCTGTCTTCCATTGTGCTCCAGAGTTTGCTTAATTTCATGTTCATTGTCTCAACATCATCTTTTAAGACTTTGAATAGCTCAGCTGGGATACCATCACCTCCACTAGCTTTGTTGTTAGTAATGCTTTCTAAGGCCCATTTGACTTTGGATTCCAGGATGTCTGGCTCAAGGTCAGTGATTACACCGTCGTGGTTGTCAAGGACATTGAGGTCCTTCTTGTATAGTTCTTCTGTGTATTCTTGCCATCTTTTCCTAATCTCTTCTGCTTCTGTTAGATCCCTACCGTTTTTGTCAGTTATCATGGCCAGCTTTGCATGGAACGATCCCTTGATTTCTCCAATTTTCTTGAAGAGATCTCTAGTCCTTCCCATTCTGTTGTTTTCCTCTGCACTGTTAATCCAGGAAAGCCTCCTTATCTTTCCTTGCTGTTCTCTGGAAATCTGAATTCAGTTGGGTAAATCTTTCCTTTTCACCTTTGCCTTTTGCTTTCCTT